TATTTGTATTTGTATTTATATTTATATTTATATTTGTATTTATATTTATATTTATGTTTATATTTATATTTATATTTATATTTACATTTATATTTATATTTATATTTATATTTATGTTTAGATAGATAGATAGACACAGATGTACCCTACACAGATAGATACGATGACAGCGCGCATCAGCTTAGCGACTTCGCAGCCCGAGGCCACAGCCTCATTTCCGTCTCCTCAGTGATCGGAGGCTCGGCCTGGGCTTCTTAGGGCGGAGAGGATACTTAGGGACTTAGGGATAGGGTTTAGGGGCCTAGGGTTTAGGGTTTAGGAGTTCAGGGTAAGTTTAGGGTTTAGGCTTCAGGGTTTAGGAGTTTAGAGTTTAGGGTTTAGGGTTTAGGCTTCAGGGTTTAGGAGTTTAGGGTTTAGGCTTCAGGGCTTAGGCTTCAGGGTTCAGGCTTTCAGGGTTTAGGGTTTGGGGTGTTGTTCAGCTCACACCTTTCGAAAAAACCATGCTGGCTGAGGGAGTGGGATATCGCAACCCCGAATCAGGGATGGGGTTTAGGGTTCAGGGAGACTTCTGGCGAACTGCTAGGGTTTAGTCAGGGTTGAGTGAGGTTGGGCTTCTTGTGGCTTCCATGACACTGTCAGGAGGCTCTCAGCTTTCAAGTGCCCTGAAACCAGAGAGCGAGATGCGTCGATGGCGTAGCCCCCGACTTGGGCAGCACTCACCTCGGCTACGAGCAATAGCAAGCAATAGCAATACAGCAGTGCAGCTTGCAGTGTCACCATGCCATGTGCCCACTACGATCACGTCGTCAACGACTCATCGACTGAGCTCCTGCACATGATTTCTTTTTAGTCGGCGGAACTTGGCTGACATGTGAAGGGGGGACCCGGGATTGCATGGGGCACCTAAGACACCGAGGCAATCCATGCGAATGTAACTCGTGCCACTATCACTGACTTCACACTTGGAGAAAGAAGACGGCTGCAAGTCCAAAGATCGCAACTTGCTGAGGCCGCTGCATCAGTCTGACCCGCCGGCTTCTTTGCCTTCCGTTTGGCCTGCCGCAGCCGCATTGAAAAGGACTTTTTTGCTTTGGGTCGTCCTGGCCTTGACCTTCATCTGCTTCGGCACTGCAGCCTGCAAGTTAGTGCCAGTGGTTCAGACTCGAACAGAAGTTGCACCAGCAGCGGCAGCTCAATTCGACCAGCCTCCGCCAAATCATGGCGTGGACATTCCATTTCCTCCCCGACCTCGTAACCTGCAAAGACGTCTCGGCTTAGCCTTAGCGAACTTCACACCAGTTCAGCAATGCGCCGGGCCTGGCAGGCGGCTGCGTGTGGGATCCTGGCCATGGAGTCATGGATTGGAGGTCCACACCCGCAAGAAGAGTGCAGCAAAAGCAGATACTGATTTCGTAAGCCTCTAGGCACATGTAATTTCCGGGGCTTCAGAACGGGTTTAGCCTTGACGCTTCTAAGCCTCCAAGCCTCTAGAATCTAGAACTTCGGAAAGTCTTCTCGAAGCTTCTCAGACCTTTACAAGCCCGTAAGCATTCACGAATTCTGCGCTCGTGTGGGCCTGTTCTAGGTTGCTTCTGGGCTCTGCCAGGCGAACCGGCGCTCGCAGGTGCTTCGTTCGTGCAAACGTCGATATAGCCGAATCTCGTCAAGCTTTCTGCTTGAACGATTTCTGCTGGGCACTTGGGAGCTTTTCCCTCAGCCGAATCTCACTTGTTCTTCTATGCCTCTGCCTCTAGGCCTCGAAGCCTGCAAACAAAGCCTCTGAGATCCTCTGAGCCTTTAAGAGCCTCTGAGCCAGCCAGTAGAACACAGGCACTCTATGGCGCCGGCATGCTTCATGCTTCATTTCAGGTGCGTAAACGGGTTCTCAGTCCTAACCCCACGTCATTTCCAGCAGGCCTCGGAGCAAATGGCACCTGTCTCGGCAATCTCCGCACCTGTGGGCTGCGGGCTTGTCTTAGCCTTCTTTGACAAGATCCCTGTCCAGTCTTCTAACCAGGCTTTGGTGCAGAGAACGCCGAGAACGCTTCAATGCAATGCAGGCACCTTCGACGACAATGGCGGTGGTTTCCACCTTGAAACGGGAGCTTTCGATGTGGAAGCCTCCTCAACCCCAAACCTCGCCTCGGCTGATGCGTCGTAGGATGTCGATGACGACTTCTTGACCTGTCAGTCTGCGACAAGTGAAAGCCGAATAGAGGGTTCTACAGCTTGAAGGTCATGAAGGCCTCGGATTACGATTGCCTTGTTTTTGAGAAGTCCTCTGTATCCCCAAGTTCGAGAGAGTCCGGCATATGCAGGTTAAGACTTGGCGTTGCCGCACGTGGTCTCCCACCTCCACCTCACACCCACTGCACTTCCTCCATGTGAACGGGCTTCTGGCTTGAGTTTTTTCCTCAGTGCGCTGTTGCCTTGCCTCCGTAACCCTAAACCCTAACACTGCTTACTTTGAAGCTGCAGCCTGGCATCTTCGTACGGCTGGGCTCTTTGTCCTGTGCTGTGTAGTCAGTGCGTGGTGCCTTCTGATCTCCCGGCTTTGCCGGGAGCAGCCCACAACTTTGCTATGTGCCTTTCAGCTGTGCTAGTAGCAGCTGGTAACATCCAGGACATTCCCTGTTGCCGTCCGGTTGTTGGAAATTCAGCTCTCAGCCCGGACCCCGGGCGCACCGAAGCACACGCCCAGACCGTGACGCTCTACGAGTGTACAGCACGGGGCTCCTGTGACGGTGCACTTCACGGTTTAGGGTTTAGGGTTTAGGGTTTAGGGTTTAGGGTTCTGACGTCCAACACATGAAAAACAACACTGGCTGAAGACGAGTCAGCATAGGTATCTTATTATTCCCTCGGCTGCGACAGACCTACCGGTCCATAGCCATCTACTGCAAGACAAGAGCAAGTTCGGCAGAACCAGAAACTCGGCAAAAATCGATGAGCTAAGTCCACTTCCAAAACCCCAGTAGACCTCAAAGTAACTCGAATGGTGCTGCTATGGCATCGCTGCCAGGGTTGAGGCAGCTACGCTTTCAGAGCTTGGGCTGCTGCATCAATCTGAACGGTCGGCTTTTTTCTCTTCCGCTTGACCTGCAGCAGCAGCACGGAGCAGGTGTTCTTCGCTTCGGGATGTCCTGGCCTTGATCTTCATCTTCGGAACTGCAGCCTGACACATGTCAGCACGACCGGCCATTGCACTGTCATCTTGGAACTGTGCTTTCAAGCACCTACTGGACATTCACACAAAGACTGCCGGACAAATGCCCGCCACCAATTGCATTAACCAGCCTCCGTTCTACTGCTGCGCGAGGTTGCCCCGGCAGGTTTCCCCAGGAGCCCTGCAGCGCGGACCTTCATCAGGGCACCAGCCTGCGCCAGCTCACCTCTGCAGGTTTTGCTGGTGCGGGCATCGCAATGCCCTTACCCTCCTTCCCAGCATGGCAAGTATATACAGCATGCAGCTGGGTCGGTCCGGACATAGAGAGCAGTGAACTGCTGACAGCACGGGTGCCTTCCGCTGTGCTGACGATGCTCGCCAACTGAGCAGAAACGCCAAACATCGAAGGTGGAGAAGTTGTCAACGGAATGTACTGGCCTGCCTTGGCACCTGGTCTAGTGTGGCTCGAAACCGATGTCCAACCAGCTTTCGTTTACCGACACCAGATAACTCTGACATTCAGCCTCGAGAGAAAGTAAGCGACTTGTCCGAGCCCCTCCGCCAACAATCCAAAGCCGGAGTTGCCTCATCCGGCATCTGACTGACAGCCTCATCCTGAAAGTCTCGCAATGAAAAATCAAAACATCCCTAGCAAAATGAACAAGGCTGGCATTTGGCATGGAAAGCTATCCGATGCATGCTCTCATCTGGCGATGGCGATCTGTGGATTAGTTCGCCACGGCCTCGCTGTCAGTGAGCAATGGCTTGCCTGCCGCGGCCTCCAGCAGGATCACACACATGGCTTTGATCTGTCTACTCTCACACATCGAGCCAAGCTACAAGCCAGCAAGCAAGCGGCAAGAACATGTTGAGGAGCCCTTCCGCTAACAGTCCAAAACCGGAGTGGCCTCATGCGGCGCCGGACTGACAGCATCATCCTGTTAGGCATGGCCAGGAATAGTAAAGGAAACAGTCTCGCAAGGAGAGGACACAAACCGCCTAGCAAATCAAAAAACGCCCTAACAAAATCAAGGAGGTTAGAACTGGACATGGAAAAGCTCTCCGATGCGTATACGGCCTCGCTGTCAGTGAGCAAAGGCTTGCCTGCAGCGGCCTCCGGCAGGATTACACATGCCTCTGTCTACTCTCACATCGGGCCAAGCTACACGCTAGCCACTAAACGACAAGAACATGTTGACTTGTCCGAGTCAAATCGAGTCAACATGGCCGGAACTGGAGTGGCCTCATCCGGCGTCGGACCGACAGCATCATCCTGTCAGGCATGTCGTCAGGAACGGGTAGCACAGCAAACTGTCTCGCAAGCAGAAACTCAAAAGCCTGAGCTCCGTCACGTCACGGCCGAAGCGGTTAGAGTTTCCCACGTGAAACCTCTTTCCCTACCTCTCTTAGAGGGGCAAACCCCGGGGGCCCGCCCCTGTCTGCGGTTGCATTGCACCTGCTTCAATTACAGCCGGGCCGAGGTGGACAGACGCGAAGCGTTGTGAATGAACCGAATTAGCATTTGACGTGGAAAAGCTATTCGACGCATGCGCGGCCTCGCTGTCAGTGAGCAATTTCTTGCCTGCCGCGGCCTCCGGCAGAATCAAAGATGACTCTGAGCAGCAAGCACAGGTTGAGTCGTCAGAGCCCCTCTGCCAGCATTCCCGAAACTGGAGTGGCCTCATCGAGCGTCTGACTGACAGCCTCATCCTTTCAGGCATGTCGCGGGGACAGGGTCAGCATGAGCAAAAACCATGGAAAATGCGAGAGCCCAGCATTTGTCTCGGGAAGGCTTTCCGATGCATGTTCTCATCTGGCGGTGGTACTCTGCGTCTCAGGCTGCCACATTTTCGCTGTCGGTGAGGAATGGCAGCTTGCCTGCCTTGGCCGCTGCTCTATTCGGTTTAGGGATTAGAATTTCTTAATCGAGGTTGACAATTAAGACTCACTACGCACTCATTTACCAACAGAATGCTAACCCGAATCGAGCTGACATGTGTTATCCCCAAATCGCCGCTTGCAAACTGGAACAGGCTTGGAAGGCTTCAAGAAGAAGATTTAAAGCCCCTTTCGGGTGCACACAGCAGCGGACAGGGGCATACGATGCAGTGCAGCCTTGGGGTTTAGGGTTTAGGATTCCTTTTTGGTTTAGGAGTTGAGGCTTAAGGTGGGAAAAGCGGCCTCGACATTCTGGTCGTTGCTCCGTGCTTCATTGAGCATGTCTTGCACCGACCGCATGAGGTCGTCTGCATCTGCCTGTTTCGAGCTCGCTCACTCTCTCTCTCTCTCTCTCTCTCTCTCTGTGTCTCTCTCTCGCTCTCTCTCTCTCTCTCTCTCTCTCTCTCTCTCTCTCTCTCTCTCTCCCTCTCCGTTCACTCCAGCGGACTTGCCTTCTGAAGCATCGCGAAAATCTGCACCGTCTTGGCAAAATCATCGGCGAAGAGCTGCCATCGAGCGTTTGCCTTCACATGTGCGAAGAAACGACATTGCATCTCCCGTGCTGGTTACGTCCGACCCAATACTGCGAAGCAAACGCAGATACGAAGATCACCCGGAGCCTGTGTTGCGAGCATCTTGGTCTCCCTCTTCCAGAAGCTGCAGATCAGAGAGTTCGCGAGATTGTCGGGCAGTGCTCGGCAAGCGACAGCCAAGGCACACAGGACGCTCACGTTGGGGATGTTCAGTCCATCGAAATCCGAGAGCCAGAGCTGCACAAAGTCCTGGTAGGCCTTGCTCACCGCCTCCTTTTGAAATCCCACGGAAAGCCTCAGCAAGAGCGCGGAAGCCTTCGCCAGCCTTCTCAGCAACCAGCCTCGTGGCTCCACGACAGACCAAGCTAGTAGCGCAAAAAGGGCTTAGGGCGGAAGGCCTAACTACATTATGTACATGGTTGGCCCCGTCGGTGATCGAAGAGCTTGAAATTAAACTGCAAGTGCCGAGTGCATCCCAGAGGCCGCGATCCGACAGGTAGCGAGGTACCTCCGTCTTAATGTCACGAGCTTTTCTTGCGAAAGCATGAGCCCCGACCGATACCCTCAACTTCCTGCCTGTGCCTCCGAAGCCGGGTCTAAGCAAGGACTCAAAACGGATTCGGTGCCTAGACCCGTCTCCCACAAGCCCAACCCCAAAACCCAAAAGCCTAAACCCCAACTAAACCGTAGACCCTTCGGAAGCACCTGGATCTGGCTCTTCCTTGTGATGATATTGGGACTCTCGGCGGTAACGGACCAGTCGAAGGCCAGATGTGAATCCGGCTGGAACAAGGGCAGCAGGAGGGCCACACCGCTCTGCTTCAGCTTCGCGAGGGGGCCTGGGCCTTAGTCCACAGGCTAAATCTTCGACTGCACGATCCTGTGAAATCGCGGGGACCGGCAGCATCCTGTACTCCTGATGCAAACTGACGTGTGCACGCGAACGAACTTTCATGAACTTTGTGACGAACTTCAGCACTGGAGATGCCGGCAAAATTCCTAGTGAAGAATCGGGACAGTCTCTGTTTAGGATTGCTTTGATCCCCGAAGTACGTTGTTTTTGCTGTGGCCGGCAACTCAGAATTCTTGCGGACAGAAGAGATTTCAGACGATCGCGTCAAAGCAGCTCATTGAAACCACAGTTGTCTGCCCACTTGTCAAACAAGGTTTGACGGTAAGACATCTCGTGCACAGAAGCAGCCATGGCACCATCGGAATTCATGAATCCGCTTCGGGAGGCCAGCGAATGACAAAGCACGATCTTCCGCTCCTGCCCCGTCTAACAAAAACACGCTTCCAGAAGGTTGTGACCAGAAAGCCGGAAGCCATGCTCCACATGGATGTGTGGATAGACGAGCCCCACCCCCCACCCCACCCTGATCACCTCACCTACTGGGCTTGCTATCGTGGATGCATGAGAACCCGTTGGGTCGTATGTTGAACCCTATCTGCTGATCAATGCGAACTAGAGCAATAGTCAGACGCAGAGTTGAGGACTTCACCCCGTCCTCGCCCATCTTGGGCTTGCCGCCCGCCTTGCCAGCAGCATTGCGCAGGGTCTGACCTATGATGTGAAGCACCGCATACAGGATCACTGACACCAGCATCACCAGCAACGAAACCTGGGCGGTCGACAAAACTCATTCGAGTGACACAGGAAAGTCCGCCGATGCAGGGATTCAGTTTTCGAATCAAGTGGCGGACCAAGCCCAAATGCTCTCTGCGGGGGGGAAGAATATCAGTAGCACCGCCACCGTGGTGAAAAGCACAAAGCGCGCACCGAGCAGCAGGCACTCCAAGAAGTCCAAAATCTCTGCTTGCGAGTTGGAATACGGCTTCAGCCAAGCCGTTATGGCCAGTTGTATGCCTGAGTTTAAAGCAAAGAGCAACAGTTTTGCCTTGTCGTCTGTAGTAATGGATGTGGACGCGATCAGCAACATCAGGCCGATGTCGAGCCGCTTTACCACCAACTCCCAATACCTTGGTGGTTGTCACCCTTGAGCTGTACAGGAATACGCTTGCGACACATGCCGCAACTTGTCCAGGGACGTGCTCACAACATATCATGCTTGTTTAAAGGCCAAGGCTCCAGAACCGAGGCTCGAGGCCTTCGATGAAATAGCCGAAAAGGCGGCGGTTCTCTGGCTCCTGCCGATCGTTCAGGGCCCAAATTCGAAGGAACAAGGCAAGCGGGATGCCGAAGCACCAGAGCACCAGGCCACTGACGCCAATGGCGAAGAGTGTCCAGTGCTCCTCGTGCCAGCACTCCACGTCGGGATGTGCATGCAGGCGCTGCACCGTCACCGGCCCCTGCCGATCTTCGCGAACCGAGATGCAGCGAACCATCTGCAAGAATTGGGACATCAGCTCTGGCCACAAGGCAAGCTGCGTGAGCCATATCACCGGAACGCTTTGCTTCAGCAGCGTCATCGGTCCAGGCCAGGAAGTGAAGAGCGCGAGGTCCAGCCTTGCCGCGCTCGCTTGGACCTCTGCCACGAGCTCCGAGTCCTTGAGCCGCAGATGACGACAAGTGCGCTTGAGCAGCGAACGTCCGCTTTCACCTCGCAAGTTGACGAGCTCGCCGACGGACTCTGCGGTGCGGGCCACCTCCACGACGAAGTCTGCCTTCTGCCGAGGTCACGAGTTTGACATGGTTGGATTGAAAAGATCTTGGGAAGGTGGCATGTGTCAGGAGGCCTATAAGATGAACAGCCCGGCTCTCTGTAGTTCAGGGTTGTGGAAGCACAGGATGGTCCATGCTTTAACCTCTGTTCTTCTCCTTTATCTGTACAGAGTTGCAGGGGAAACGACATTAAGTGCAAATAAGCGCGATGCAACAGCTGATGGCTCTGGCGACTTTGCCTCACGTGGTGTGCAGTACAGCCCTGCATGTGGGAGTGTCGTTGGCCGCGGTTTCGCACTTCTTCTTGCTACATATGCCTGGGGCTGGAGACTCTGCCTATGGAAACTTTGGCAGTGAGCACGGCAACCCGAAGCGCAGGAACGAACACGCACGGATCTCTGTTGTGTTGATTTCTTTCAGAGTTTCAGACTCCACATCACAGAAACACCACAGGCCAAGAAACGCCCCTTCACCCCTGTGAGCCTTTGGGAAGCCTTGGCGGTCAGCTTCTGCCTCAAGCTCTCCTCCGCTTGCAACCGCTTGGGCCGTTGGGAATCAGGGCTGAAAGCAGGGTCTGCGCTAAAGACTTAGTAGACACAACAACTTGTCGCCAGACTCTGTCGCCAGGAATTCAAGCGTGGCCACGCTGCACGCTCCACAGACACTGTGCAGAATGGTTTCTTTCTCTGCACAAGCTGATCACAGGTCCGTCCTTGCATCTTCCATGCGAGGGCTCCAAGGACCTGGAAGAGACAGAGAATCCATCCGACACAAAGCTCCGCTACACTCGGCCTACTAAACGCTCGCGCGGCATCACGGCATAGCACGTGCTCGTTGAGGCCTTCGGGTTCAAGCTCTGTCTATCGCGCCGTTTCCATCCTTTCGGCCAGATTCGACATGTGGACAGAGCTTTCTGGTACGAGTATGTTCAGAAACAAATCAAGCTGAGTTTCAGGCGTGTAGTACACAGGTCAATGCACGCGTCTTTTGATTAGATGGATGCAGTAGGTTTGCTCGTGGAAGTAATGCTTGACATTGCCACTGAGAATGTGCAGGCATGCCGATCAGACCCAGCATCAGCTGTGTCGGTGTCCGGCTAGTCTGTAACATCTCAATCATTACAACGGCATGACACCACAAAAGGAGAAAGCCTCCTCGCCTGTGAGCTCACACACGCACGCCAAAACAAACACTCGCCCGCACACCCATAAAGACAACAGCGGCACAGGCACACACACACACACACACACACACAATGAATCATTGATTGAGGCAAGCACCAGGCGACGCAGGGTTTTCTCGGAGATCAAGCCATCGGATGCCTCACGCGGGGTCCCGATGCGGAGGATGTGGAACCACACCCTGCAGGGATGCTAAGCAGCCGGCAGTAGCCAGGAGCTGATCATCTCGTATGCCTCCAGCGAGAACGACATCTGGGACCTCCTCCAAGTTCACCTTGCCGAGATCAGTCGCTATCCGACACATGGTGCATCCTGCCGCATTCGCCTCGTCCCAGACTCCCTGCGGGAGCTGCAGGACATGGCCCCGGGCCGACTCGCCGCCCTCGCCCTGAGGGCTCTTGGCAAGGTCCTGGGGCAGCTCGGCAGGGACTCAAAATAGGGGACCCTAATATAATACCCCAATATAGTAGGATCCTTATTATAATGGACCCCCAAAATAAGGTACCCCAAAAGACCTCGGGTTGCCATCGCTTCGGTCCTGCCTGCTTCATGAGGTTCAACTGGCCTCGCACGGCTTGTAGGGCTGCCCGCTTCTTGGCCTCCTTGCGGTCGGCTTCCTCGGCTCATGGTGACATTCCCCAAGCGTAAGCTGTGCTTTGGGTTTAGGGTTTAGGGTTTAGGGTTTAGGGTTTCGGGGATTATTCGGACGACGAGGAGTCCTACTTTCGTCGCCGTTCTCCTGTGCAGCCGGGAATCATTGAAATGGAGCCCGAACATCTTTCCCAGCGGCAGCACGGCGTAAACCACCAGCGCCGAGAGGAAAAGGGTGCCGAGAAGAGTAAGAGCCGGTAAGCATAGGTAGTACAAGACCGGTGCACTCCGCTTCATGTCCTTGTCGCTCGACCAGGTCTCAGCTTGGCACTCTGCCGCGAAGTGGACACTCGCCCGGGGAATCACTGCTACTAGCGAAAACGCTCCTCGCATGGCATCGGACACTGCTTGAGGCCACGCGAAGCGCAGAATCTCGCGACACTCCCCGTCGCAGCTGCCTTGTGCTTCTTCCTGAGACCACTGGAAGGGCTGCAAACGATCCAGATTAAAGGTAAGCAAGATCTGGCATGCTCCGATCCAAGCCTGGACCATACGTATCATGCAGGTGTGAAGCTTCAGAGAGCTTCCCGAGCCTTTCGCCGCCAGAACGGTAAGCACGAAGTTCAAAGCAGTGATTCGCGTGAGGTCTGCCAGGACGGAGGCAAAGAGCAGCCAGGCACGATTGACCGGAGGGCAGGGCTGGCAGTATTCCAAAAGAGTGCCTCTGCCCCAGCCCTCCGGGCACTCTCCACACATCACACCAGAAGAGCCCTCTGCGCATTGGTTTCCGACAGGTTCGCTACAAGCTGCAAGAGTTGGATCGTGCTTGCACTCCGGAGAGAGGCCACTGCAGACGCTGTCTCCGTTGGGCAAGACAACGTGGCATTGGACGGCCAGCGTGCTGCCAGTTTGGAACCAGCCGGCAATGGCCCGCGGCTGGGTGTGATTCCTTGTGCCCACATCGAAGTTACCGTTACACACCAAGCCACTGTAGAGAGCACAGCTGGCACAGCGCGATAGCTGGCCCTTCTTGTCCATCTCTGCCACATGCCCGGGCAAACAGTAGCAAGCATCCACTTCTGTGGAGCCTGGACTGCTGTCTGCATTCGCTGGGCACGTCAGGAAGCAGACTCCGCTGCCTGCGCTTGGCTTGTACCTTCCCGGCGGGCACGGTTCACAGAGTCCTGCATCACGGCCAGTCTCATATCCGGCCTCACAGAGACACTCTGTTCTAGACCGCGATCCTTCAGAGATCGTAGTTGAGTTCGCTGGACATGGGAGTGCAATGCCCGAGCCATTGCAGTAATATCCGATCTCGCAACTGCGGCAGTCGCCCTCATGGTCGTACAGGCCAGCCCCGCAAACGCATTGCTGCACCGACATGGCGCCACGCTGAACCGTTGATTTCGGAGTCTCGCATTTCTCGCACTCTGCATCTGCTAGTGCAGATTTATACTCGCCCTGAGGACAAAGTCCACATGTGCCAATCTGCGCATCGAAGCCGTAGCCCGGCAAGCAGAGGCAATCGCTTGCACTCACGATCGGGACCCCCGGGGGCCTGGCTGAAAACTCTGGGCAGCTGATTGTCAGAGACGACACCTCGGGAACTGATGTAACTTCGATGGTGAAGTCGGACAAGTCGTCATTCAGCCGGACTGCATTGCTCATGTCACCCACAAGCACGCTCACATCCGTCTCCTGCACAGAGCGGTTGGCCTCCGCAGCCGAGGTAAACTTCAGCATGATCACGACTGACGGTATATCTGACAACCTGCGGCCGGCTGCATCTGCCCAAGGTAGCGTGATCTCCACGGCGCTGGGATCCATCCTCGTAGAGTCTGCAATGCTTCGGCGCAGGGTGGCAATCAGGTCACGCCTGACATCTGGATCAATCCAGTCTGTGCCGAGAGATACATTGAAAGTCATGGTTGCTACATCCGAAGTGTTGCTGAGGCCGGCTGCTGGGTTCAAGTCCACCACACTAGTAGAGCCACCGTCCTCCTCTGCAGCTGGAGAAATGCACGAGGAACTGGACACGGAACCGCTGAGAAGAGTGGTCAGATTCTGCGGACAGGCATTGCAGGCAACAGCATTGCCCACATCAGTCTTGTAGAATCCTCTGTCGCAGGCACTGCAACTTCCAGAATCCAGAAAGTAGCCAGCCATGCACTCGCAGTCAGAAGCTGCAGAAGCCCTTCGCTGCTGCGTGGTCTCATGCTCGGGGCAAGGAAATCGTGTTGCGGACCCGGGGCTGCCTCCGGGACAATAGAAGCCGCGGCCACACGCAGCACATCGCGAAGCCGTAAAAAAATGCCCCTTTGGACAGTCAATTTGCAGCTGGCCAGATGCTGCCCGGAAGGACGAAGCGGATGCGCAACCATGAAGTCTTGGACACCAGCAGAGCCTGTAAGTTGCAGCGACTGTCGATTTGGGCAGCTGCCCCATGGACACTTGCAGCGCCTTTCCATTTTTCTCAAAGTAAAAGGGCTGCTTCAGGGACATGAATGTGCTTATGCTCCCGGCAGATTTATCACAAGTATCCTCAACCACGATCATCGCATCACCTTCCTGCAGATAGATGCCTGACAGCTCCAGTGTGCAATGGCTCCCAACGCTGCAAATGGAAGTCTGCCGGAACGGGCCGGATGCTGTCATGAGCCCAACAGGTGCTCGGAAAGCAGAGGCAGTCTCACAGTCTTCTTCTGCAGTTGGCCTGCAAAAGCAGAGCCTGTAAATCCCCGCAGGTGATAGAAGCAGGTTCGACTCGCCCTGGAATTGGAACGTGGCACGGTCCTGACACACGTCGTGGGTTCAGAACGATTGAAGCCTCACACAAAGCTTTTCATTTACGTTGTGATGCTGCGGGCGAACGAAGAAGCCAGAGAGAAGACACCGAGCGAGACATGAAACCACGCGAATGGCAACCGTGATGGGCCTGAAACCTGCATGAGAGCCCAGCCCAGCCTCGGCGTACTCTGCGATTCCACGGCCGGGGAAGCCTTGCACCGCAGAATCCACACCACAAGCAGAAAGGACCATGATGCGGTCTCCCTGAGCCGCATGGACAGACCGGATACTCAGAGCGCACGGCTGCCCAATGGAACAAATGATCTCTTGGTTGGCACCAGGCCCTTCGATCTGCAGCTTGCCGGCTGGCACCAGAAAGTCTGGAGGTTGGCTACAGGTCGCCGGAACGTCGTTCTCGGACGCACCACACCAGCAGAGGTCGTATCCAGCCTCGCTTGCATCGATGCGCAAGCCGTGGTCCAGCAAAGGCTCGACGTCCGAGGAGGTGCCGAAGTTGAAGCGCAGGGAGACCTCCTCCGACTCTCCGAACACGCCGAGGGCTTCAAGCCGCTGAAGGCTTGCGGTTCCGTCTGCATTGGCTGGGGAGATCTGCATCACCGCGCCACCACATCCACCGGCCTTAAGAGACAGGCGATCCAACGAGGACAAGCCGACGCCCCGGAAGGGCTCCAGACCAAGGCAGTCCTGCCCACGCACGCATTGAAAGAGCTGATCGCTGAGGGGCCCCGCAACCTCGAGCAGACCCGCGAAAAGCTCAAAACCCTCCAAGCTGGCGCAGACGAGGCCAGCCATGCTGGCACACCAACAGAGGCGGTAGATGCCACCTTCTGGCAAGAAATCTGCAGGGACGTCGCCCCAAGTGTAGAGGTTTCCTTCACCGCTGGCTGGCTTCGAGGTGCCGTCATTGGCCATGCCGGCGACGGGCAACTTTGCTCCGCCACAGTCTTTGGACATGGTGAGTGCTAGCCGGTGACCGTCTCGAAGATGAAACCCGCCCAGCGGAACGGAACAAGCCTTGCCAGAAGTGCAGCGAAACTGCTGGTCACCGTGTGGACGAATGCACAAGTCTTCAATCCAGGAGCCGGGATTCTCTGTAGTGGACCCGGACGGGCAAGCTTGACACGTTGCATCCGAGGTAGCACCAATAGCATCACTCCAGGTCCCAGCCGTGCATTTGCTACACGGCAGATTGCCAATGCCACTCTTGTACTCACCTGCTGCACAGGGCTTGCAGACCTCATCCAAAAGGGACGTTCCCTCTGCACACACGCACTGGCTCCGATCGCTGGCAACATCCACGAACGTGGTTTGAGACTCTCCGCAATTCTCCCGGTGTGTACCTCCCATGCAGAAAGAGCCAAAGCCACAGGGCCCACATTGTGAGGGGCTGCTCGAAGCATTTATAAAGCCCGGTGCGCATATGCAAGAATCCGATGCCACGGCTCCAGCCTGCGATGTCGTGGAGCCATATGGACACTTTCGGCAAGTGGCTTCCTGCATATAATGCCCAGCCTCACACAGGCAATTCGAAAAATCACCTTGGCGGTGCATTAGTACAGCCCGAGTCACAATGACAATTACACATACCCTTTCTGCTGCTACCCTAAACCCTAAACCCTACAGGCCCTACAACTTCGGACGTTCTGAGGAATGGACTGGATCCGGCCACCGCAGCGCTTCCGGCTGGGCAGCTTTCAACACGGTGGCCATCAGGGCAGAATGAGTCTTCGGGGCAGTTCATACACGAACCTTCAAACTCATGCCGCCCTGGAGCACAGTGGACTTGCAATTGAAATGCGACGGCCTGGTAATCCTCCGACGATGCACACGGACGACCTTGCGGGCACCAGCACAGCTGCAAAGTCTCCGGCACGCCGTTCAGCTGCGGCTGCTCCAGTTCCAAGGTGAAGGCCTCGATGGTACGACCGACTCTGCGAACGGCCCTGTCCTGCCCAAAGGTCACGGAGGAATTGGGAGATCCACACTGGCTCATGGCGATCACACCGTCCTTCACCGACAAGCCCACGCCGCGCCAGGATGCGAAGACACAGGGCCGACCCATAAAGCAATGCAGAGTTTGGTTGGCATAGGGACCCTCACTGATGAAGAAGCCCAGGGTTGAGGAGAAGTCACCGGGCTGGTCGCATCGCGAAACATTCTGAAAACAGGAGCATAGCCTGTACCAGCCTGGTTCAACGTGGAGACGGGACGAACCAGTTTGGTCATCGGCGAATGTGAAGGTCTGGCCATCCGAGCTCACGGCCGAAGCCAGTGACTCTGAATCCAAGCATGAACGCTTCACAGAAATCGACACACCAGGAAGCGGGGGATCCATCCCAAAAACGCAGTCTTGGCCTACGGGGCACTTCGCGACTGCTCGTGATCGCTCATTCGAAGGGAACCGCCAGAGGTCGTCGAAATATGTGGCGCCGAAGCCTCCGAATGTCATCAGCGCACTGGAAGCCTCGTCCCATACGCCTCGTGGGTCTGAACGCGGGGAGGGGCCGACCGTGGTTGAAAGCTCTGACCAGGCGTTCGCCAGCAAGTCAAACCTGGCTAAGCGATCCCCGAGAGGCTGGGTTGATAGTTTTATGACTATCATGTTTCTATCACTATCATTTAATAATATTAGACTGCTTATCATTACTAGTATTCTTGGTTGTAGTAGTTGTTGCAGTAGCAGTATAGTAGTAGTCTCTCATGATTATGTGAAGATGCTTCCGCGCAGCTGGTAGAGCTTGCCATCGTAGCTCAAGTTGCCGCTAACGTTCTGAACTCCGGCAAACGCGAGCATGGACATGGCACCCGGCTGCCAGGCTGCCCCATGGCGAGCCCTCGGAAACGGGCTCCCTGCTGGAAAGAGCTCCCACCACCGGTCCGCCCATGAGTCATACACATGAAGGTCCTGCAAGTAGGCACTGCCACCCAAGCCGGCGAAGACCAGCATGGACCTTGTCACCTGAACTGACTCGACGACAAACACACAGAAGGACTCAGGACACCTAGCCAGGCAGGCCGAGCCCAAGAGGAAGCAAGCAGAAGCAGGCAAAGCATAGGCAAATCAGAAGCAAGCATGGGTGGTTGTCAAAATTAGGGTCCCTTTTTGGGTCCTTATTATAGTACGGCACCTAATGTTTAGGGTACCCCAAAAAGGGACCCTAATTTGGACAACTACCCGCATGGACGTCGCGTCACCCGATCCCAGACCGCAGAGTGCCAGCTCCTTGGGGCTGGGCCGGCAGCAGCGAAGCTCCAGACCTTCCGAGGTCTGAGGTTCACATGAGCGATAATCAAAACTCCTAGTATCCCCCTTAGTGTCCCCTATAGTAGCCCCCTATATAATCCCTATTATAAGCTCCCATTACGGAGTTTAGACGAGGGTTCACATGCAGATGATTTAGGGCATTAAGGGCCTAGGGCCTAGGGTGTAGGTTGGTTCCCAAGAGAGGCCTCGCGGCTCAAACTGCACCTGGCGAGATCACCCAAAGCTGCGCCATTCTCGCCTCCGAACACCAGCATCGCACCAGAATCGTCGTCCCAAACGGCCGAGTGGTGGGCGCGTGCTGCTGGTGCCATCTCGAAGAGAAGCTGCCGCCAGGTGCCCACGGTGCCCAGCTCCGCCTGGTACTGCCAAAGTTCATCAAAGTGTCCACCCAGGTGGACTCCTGCGAAGATCAGCATCGATCGACTTGCGCCGTCCCACACGGCGGAGTGGCCTTGCCTGGCGGTCGGGTCAGTTGTGTTGCGGACGACCCCCGCCCTCTCTTTCCAACTTCGGGCGAAACAGCAGTGCAGTGATCAGGACAACTTACAGACAAGCAAGTGAAGTCATCATACACCGCCGACAGCCCCTATATTATGGAAGTCGCTGTGTTCCCTCGATTGCCCTTGGCAGTGGCCGGATCAGTCGGGGCCTCGTTGACGGACCACTGGCTGACAACAAGGTCCAGGCTCGGGAAGGCCAGTGATATTGCCAGAGGTCCTGAAAGAAATCGAAGCTTCGGCCAGCCTCACCCCCGAAGATGAGAACGATCTGCTGCTCCGGGTCCCAGACCATGCTGTGCCCATGCCGGGCCCTCGGCCCCGCAACGCTGTAGTCGACCCAGTCGTCCCAGTTGCACTGCACTCCTGCTGTTTAGGGTTTAAGGTTTCCACGCAGCCCCAAACCACGAATGAGACCCGGTTCTTGTGGCGCATTTCAGCATTTAGACTGTATCTTCGTCGGTGGCAGTGGTACGTTTCCCTGGGTGACGCGAGACCTCTGCATTAGACGCTTTGCAGCATTGGGGCGTTTGCTGACACCTGAGCATATCCTTGGAGTTCTCGCGTGCACGATTCAAGTTCGACGATATATTGTGTGCAAACTATGCTTCACAGAATCTGTAGCTCTCAAGGGCATCACCTAATCATACATGCCTGCATCTGAAACACCATGGTGGAGCGCGGGAAGTCCCCGGAGCAGGCTGCAGGAGGGAGAACACGCGTTATAATGCACTCTACACTGCGCCTGCTGCTTCCTGTGGCCCACAGTCATGGATCTGCCATCCCCCGAATGAGCAATCACCAAGACCTGGGTTGTTGTTTCGGGGCCTGAAAAGACATGTGAATAAGTACACACTATACCTCTATAGGACCATAGAAGGAAATCCCAAAGCTTCCCAAAGTGCCAGCTAGAGACTCAGTTCTTCGCCGGTGCAGCTGATGTCATCAATAGCAAAGGCATTGTTGTTGAGCACGAAAAAGGAACTCAAAGGTACGCCGGCAGCCATGCCCAAGTCCTGGCTGCATCTTGGCTGAAGCAAGACGTGCCCCACTTGAGCAGGGAGGGGGGCCGTAACGGGTTTGGACCTGACAAAAGAAGCTCGCTTACATCACCCGAAGTCTTGTGAATCGCGACTCTCACAGGTTCCTACAGAGCCAGCTTTCGTGATTTGAGCGCTGGGCTGAAGTTCTCCAAACTGCCAGGAGTCAAGACTCAAGCTACACGGCGTGGGGTCCTTGCAAGCCACCATGGCCGCCGCCGTGTCGAAGCCATCATCGCAAACCGGCGACCAGGTGCCCTCGCGCAGCACTTCGAGGAAGCCCCAGGTCCTGGAGCCTCCAGACAAGCGGACGGACTCCAAGCCTTCTGCTCTGGGAGTTCGCGCGCTGAAGAGCCGGGGAAGAAAAGCTGCTCCGTCCTCCGCCGACTCCTCGCCTGCTGGCACTCCCAACTGGCCGTGATCATTCGCACCGAAGCAGAAGATGGAGCCTCCGCTCTGCAAAAAGCAGATGTGCGCATTGCCCATCGACAGGCTTTGGACCTTTCCCACGAGCACCTCTACAGGGTTTTGATAGAAGGGGATTGCAGTGCCTTGCCCAAGCTCCCGGTTGCCATTGCGACCCCAGCATAGGGTTCTCTCATCCTGCAAAATTGCGCAAGAGTGATGCGAGCCCACGAAGATCTGAGTTGTTGGAAAGCCGAGGTCGACGTCAGCTGCCTCGTGGGCCTCTCGACTCACCGTGTCACCGAGACCAAGCTGACCATCTTCATTCTGACCCCAACATCGCATGCGCCCATCTGCTAGACGGACGCAAGCATGCCCTTCGCCTGTGCCGATCTGCATCGGCCGCTGCTCGAAGCCGATTGTCGGAAGGCTATCACCCATCCCCGAGGACATGTTGCCCACAATCTCCCCACTGGGGAACTGCTGGCCCCAGCAAACCACCCCTTCAGAGGACAGGGCGCAGGAAGATCGGAATCCTGCGGTGACCTGGGTTGCTCTGAAACTCCCCAGGTCCAAAGCGGGCAGCGCATCTCCCATCTGCCAGCTGTGCTCTCCACGGTTCCTTACAGTCGACACAGGTAAAGAAAGGAAAAGCAGACAAAGCCACCGTCTGCTCTTCTCTGAGCTGAGGTCCCGGCATGCTGTCTCCCATGCCCAGCTGCCCATCGCCATTGTAGCCGAAACACTTGATGCCCCCGTCATGAAGAAGGACGCAAGTGTGCAAGGAGCCACAGGCGACTTGGGTCGCCTTTGTGCCATTGCCCAGATCGACCGCAGGCAACCGGTCACCCATTTCGTTGGGATCATCACCGAGACCAGTCGCGTTTCCGGAGCCGATCTGTCCATAAACGTTCGAGCCCCAACACTTCAGGGAGCCATCTTGAAGAACCGCACAGGTGTGATTAGCTCCGGCACAAGCCTGCACGACCGTACCTCCAACGTCCACCACCGGCAATTGCAGACCGACCTCGTCCTGGTCATCGCCTACGTCGTCGGAAGTGCCATAGCCCAACTGCCCTCCGCTGTTCTTTCCGAAGCATTTGAGCTGTCCGAAAGCCAGAGCGCACTGGTGATGGTGCCCACCAACCAGGACCATGCCAGCCGGCATGGCATGCTCATGCGAATACAATAAGACTTCGTCCAATGCCATGAAGGTATTTCTCCAAGCGGGCATATAGCCCCTGAAGCGCACACGACTAACTGTGGCTGGCAGGCGCAGCTTGACTTGCTGCCACCCCACCTCTCGCTGGCCGACCTCGGACCAACGTTCCTGCCAGAGGCCATCAGGGCTCCACATCTCCACTTGCAGACGGAAGGATTGCCCCCGTCCCGTGCGGAAGGCGAAGGCCAGGTAGACCGCCTCGGCACTTGCGAAAAGCGGGCTGGTCAAGATCACCTGCACAGGGACACGAGTGAGATCCTCAAAAGAGAAGCATGGCCTACGTCGGTTTGTGAATTTGCAAGGCACCTCTCTAATAGTACCAATCTCGTTCGTCTGCGAGGCAGAGGCGAATGCGTGGCCACGAAACGCGCTGCCATTCGTTCGCAGCCAGTCCCCTGTCCATTTGCAGAAGCCTTCCTCGAAGTCGCACCCCGCATCCTCGAGACTGCCTACGAGTTGCACTGTGTCTAACTGGAAGGAGCGGATCTTCACCAGATCTGTCGTGCTGTTCATGGTCGCCAGCAGGCGCAGTGCCTGCGTTTGCACAGAGATCAGGCCCGCGAGCTGCTGCCAGGAACCAGAGGAGACGAGAGGTGTGGTTTGGAGATGTGTCCAGCTTTTCTCCACGAGTTGCTGCACCTCCAGGGCTGCTGTGGGCCCCACGACTTGGAAGCTGAGAAAAAAAGCGGTCTCGGAACCAACGCTTCGGATCTGAGCACTCTCAAGTACAGCTGTTTGGCTCTCCGCCCCCCTGGCTTCCAAACCGATGTCCACCACTCTCCACGTGGCTCTGTTGGGGGCAACACTGCTAGGCTCCAACCAGAAGCTGTTGACCTGAAAGTCCGAGCAAACCAGGTCTTCCACCGCGACAGCTGTGCGGATTGCCCGCACGGCCAAGTCTCCGGTTTTCCACGCTTCCAGGGATCCTCGAAATTGCAAATAGGTGAAGATGTTCGCGAAATGTGCTGCCCCTTGCTGCCAATGGACGCCCTGACTGCCAGAGAGTGACCAGACGATCGTCCAGTACTGACCATTCCAAGCCTGTAGCTGGATGCTGCCGAAGTTATCATCGAAGCTGTGCATGAGGTAGTCAAAGTATAAGCTTGTACCCGTGGTGTAAAAGGGGCTCTGCAAAACGAACGCCTGCAGGGACACGCAGAGGCACTCAGGCAGATCGGTACGCCACCCGCAACGGAGCCAGTTTGCGGTACAGCACAGCTGTGACAGGAGTCGCTTCGGATACTTCAGATGCTGTTAACTCCAGAAGAAACAAAGTCAGGGACCCTAATGAGGATAGGAGAAGGATCCTTCTTGTAAGAACGCTAACATCTACCATCAGCCTGTGCGCAAGGATCACTTGCTGTACGAATCTTCTCAGACGGGGCCTCTGTAGCCCAGGGCCCGAGCTGATTCCTGTACTCCTTAAGGAAGAGCCTCCGGTCGATCTAGGAATCTAGGCTGCCAACTAGCGCCCGCATCAGAGATCTCAGAAAGCAAAGCAAAACTCTGAAAGCTTGCACGACTCGGGCCTGTGGATCGCCTTCTCGGTCGGTGACATACATCGCAGTAAGATAGAACGCATCATTAAACGTCTTGGCCCTCCGCACATATACCCCGAGTGTCTCCTCCAGAAAAGTGTACGTTCTTCGGCGGCGGGTCGACCAACCACCACCACCACTGGGGGCGCAGCAGCACCAGCTGAGCCACCTTCCAGACAGCGGGGGCGTAACATCGTCGCTGTAAGCATGGCCTTCGTAGCTGCACGACCCATCCCTGTCCAGATCGTTTAAAGCAGTGCTCGACGGCCAATTGTTGTCGAAAATCCACTGTGGTGAAGCCGAGCCGCCGTCGCAGCTGGGATCGTAGTACAGGAACTTGTAAACCGACGAGTGCTTGTAGTAGGCCCGGCCACTGTGCGTCTGACCCCACAGAACGTACGTGCCATACATGTCTGTGTTGCAAGAGTTCACATCCATCTCCAAGACCACTTCGCGGACCTTGCAGGCAGCCAAAAACATCCTCAATGGGGGGATAACTGCGCCGTCGGAAACATGATATGATATGATAAGATATGGTATGAGATATGAGATGATATGACACGTAATGAGAGAGACGGCAACCCAGAAACGAGAAGAGGATTGCCCTCGGAGTTTGCATGTCCAGAGGCAAAGGGATGTTCTTAGCTGCACCCTGCCCCGATCCGCCCCCCTTTCAACCCCCAGAAGAAGCAAACAGTAGTCAAGTAGGCGCAGTTATCCCCCCCATGCGTAAAAAGAAAGGGTGATTTCATGACAGACATGCATGAATAGATGCAGCCCGAACCTGGTCAACGGTAGCGGTGGATGTCCAGTCGCAGCCAGCAGCCGGAGAGCTGCACTCAACGATGGGAACTGCGGCAGCTGCTTGCACCTTATCCAAGCCAATATCGCCTGCAAATCCAGTCCCGGTCATGCCCAGGAAGCGCAGCGCTTGTGCATCATTTGGTAACCACACGACAGCACGATACCATCTGTCACCCTGGTTTCCGGAGAGCGACCAGGCTGTGGTCCACTGCATGCCGTGCCAGAATTGTAGCATCAACTGGCCCATGTGGACTCCGTACATGTGGTAGCGGAAAATAACGTATCTGGCTGCACCGGAACCGTTTCGGAACACGGGGCTTTCCAGCACAAACTCCTCTGCAAATCACTTTGCAGAGCAGGCCCGGAACCAGGTGTTCCATCTTAACATGAGCCCTCTTAGCAAACTACGCACGCTGAAGTTCCTCGACACTGCAGCATCATGCGTCGTGCAGCTAGCATGGCTCATTGTCATGCAACCTAGCTAGCCCGCCTTCTACACGAGTCACTGATCATGGAGCGCCACGTGTAAAATCTTAGATTACTGTTGTCGTGGCACAGCGTCATAAGTTCTTGCAAGTGCACAACATGTCCTGTGATGGTGCCGATTTCTTGATGTCTCGAAGGCCCCTTGCCACAACAAATTGCATGCCCACTGGGTGGCGCAAATCCCTTGCTTCTGCGATGTACACGCACACACGCAAACCAAACGAACAATAAGATTGAACAAGCAGCAGACCAGCACGGCCAGGCATAAATCACGAAAACACAACTTGTAAGATGTGAAACTCAAGGTATGAGGCTTTCGCACACAAGAGCGCAAGGATGCCTTCGCATCCACCACTACCTGTACCCGCCCGGTAAGCCTGGAGGACGCACAGAAGTGTACTATTCCTTGGCTTTGAGAAATTAAACATGCCATCGTTTTCCTACCTCCCCTTCTTTTTATGGTGACCTGAACAATCTTGCAAGTAGTTCACAACAATATTGCTGCCCCTCACCGTACCCCAAACTCCTAGGGACAGATCCACAAAGACTCGAATCTGCAGGTTTGCTTCCTGCCTTGTTGGGATGATTGGACGTCGCGTCCAGGTACATGTAGTAACTGCCATCGAACGCCCAGACAGGTCCTGTGCCCGTCGACGATGTTGGACCAGTTCTCCGCATCCAAGCCTGCGGCAAAATCAGAGGAGACACCGCACTGCTCACACTGCTTCGAGGGGCGGGCTGCGTTTTGGAAAGATGTGGCTACCCTGCCCGCAAGATGTAAATTCCTGCAGCTGGGACAAGTTGAGCTGAACTTATGTCCGATCCGTTGTCAATGCTGTCATTTCGGCTTCAAGCTTTGGACTCGCGATTTCACACGACACGGAGGCGTCGAGGACTGCCGAGTCTACAAGGGTTTTGCACCGACCAATTGCCGTTCCCCGTTTTGGGATATGCGGTCTGCACACAGCCTGCAAAGCGTTAAGCCAAATATTCAACAAAGCCCGCCATCCTGTTCACTTCGCTTTGGGTGCAGCCGTCACTGCGTGCAAGATCGGAGATTCATAAATCTGGCTTTTGCAGCAAACCTGAAACAGGGTGTTTGTGGAATGAAGGCACATCATGCAAAGCGAGCCTGGCCAGTGAAGGCTTTCCAGCTGCAGGAGTTGGTCTCAAAGTTGCATGCCACGGTCTCGTAGGTGGGCAATTCGGTGGCCATTGATGAATTGGAAGTCTGCAGCGAATCCAACGCCATGCGGTTTTCATACACATTCCTCGTGATCCCCAGGAAGCGCAATGCTTGCGCATCATCCGGCAATCGTACATCGGCTCGATTCCAGACACCGAGAGGGTCACCAGACGACGACCACTCTGTGATCCAATTCGCACCATCCCACGATTGGAGCATCAGGCGGCCCATTTCCGATGTATTCATGTGATAACGAAAATGTACGTGCCTCTGATCGGTGCCGCCTTTTGCGAACTCGGGGCTCTCAAGTGCAAACACCTCCACACATGAAAGGATGTGACGACTTGCACACCATAACCATGGTCTGGCACGCGCATTTCCCGCTTGAATGTGTCTGCATGCACGGGTGCATGTGTGAGTGTGATAAAAGGATAAACAATTAAAGAACGAAAAAGAGAGGAGAGGGAGAGAGAGAGAGAGAGAGAGAGCGAAAAACAGAGAGACACAAAGACAAAGAGACAGCGAGGGAAGAGAAAGAGAAGCCTTGTCGCCACAGTTCCAAGAAGGCAGCTCAGCTTCATGTGAAGCACGGGGTGGCACCAACGAAGACTAAGACTCTGGTTCCTCCTGATGGGTTCGTCGGTGCACGAACCTCTACCTGCTACCGAGGCCAACCCACAAATTATACCAGCCTCAACCCCAAACCGCAATTGAGAAGTACGGATAGCAACCGCGCAGTTGTCGTGCAGATTTTAGCTCGGTTTAGGTGGAAAGCATGGGGGGTGAGAATTATGTTGCTTGTCGGCTCTTTTGGTCATCTTGTGATGGTCAAAACACGAAAGCTCCTTTAGTGGTTCAACTGCGTCAGCTCTCCCCTTCTAGTACATGGCCGCATCTTTTTGGAGCAGCGGGAAGCCGAGCGGCCGGAATATATACTGGAAATATCACACTTAAATCAATGCCTGCGGCGCCGGAGCCTGCGGCGCCGCAGATTCCGGCGCAGGGAGGGGGCCGAATGCAGCTTTGACATGGTGATAAATTCGCTGACGCAGTTCATGAGTAACATCTGTGGGTACAATTGCCAAGCAATGACCTCTCCGGCGCCGCATGCTCCGGCGCCGGAGGCTGCGGCGCCGGAAGGTGGTTTTCTTGGACATATTTGCTGAGTCTTATTTAGCTCAGCGGTGCCTTTTTTGGATATGCTTGCGAAGCCCCGCAGGCTGCGGCACCGCGGTAGAGAGAGGGCCGAATACAGTGTTAACCTGGCGTTTTGACTTGGGGACATGATAGCTGCTGCGATTCAAGAAGTGCTGCATAGCTTTTCCGGCGCCGGAAACTCCGGCGCCGCAGCCTCCGGCGCCGCAGTTTCCGGCGCAGGTAGAGGAACGAATGCAGTTGACCTGGTGATATATTCGATGATGCAGTTCTGCAGTTCATGAGTATAGCATCTGCAGTGGGTACAACGGCCAAGCAATGACCTCTTCGGCGCCGCGGGCTCCGGCGCCGGAGCGGACCATTAACTTACAAGGAAAAGACACGAACAGTCACGAACATTGTTCCGATTTGACGAAACATTCCCCAGTCCATTAACGCGTACGACAATCAGACACCTCCAGAGCATCCGCGGCGCCGGAGGGTGATTGATCTTTTGTGGCTCGGCAATGCCTCGTGCGCATGCGCTTACGAAGCCCCGTAGGCTGCGGCGCCGCAACCTCCGGCGCAGGTAGAGGGAGGACAGGGTTGCCCGGCGTTTTGGTACACTTGCGAAGTAATGCAGGCTCCGGCGCCGCAGACTCGCCGCAGCCTCCGGCGCTGCAGCCTCCGGCGCTGCAGGCTCCGGCGCCGCAGGCTCCGGAGCGCAGCCTTCGGCGCCGCAGATTCCGGCGCAGGGAGGGGGCCGAACGCAGCTTTGGCATGGTGATATATTCGCTGACGCAGTTCATGAGTTGAGTAGCATCTGTGGGCACAATTGCCAAGCAATGACCTCTCCGGCGCCGCATGCTCCGGCGCCGGGGACCATTGCTTACAAGGAAAAGACACGAACATTGTTTCGAGTTGACGAAGCATTCCCCAGTTTATAACGCGTATGACAAACCGACACCTCCAAAGCCTCCGGCGCCGGAGGCTGCGGCGCCGGAGGGTGGTTTTCTTGGACATATTTAAGCTGATTCTTTTGTTAGCTCGGCGGTGCTATTTTTGGAGATGCTTGCGAAGCCCCGCAAGCTGCGGCGCCGCGGTAGAGAGAGGACCGAATACAGTGTTAACCTGGCGTTTTGACTTGGGGACATGTTAACTGCTGCGTTTCAGAAGTGCTGCATAGCTTTTCCGGCGCCGGAAGCTGTGGCGCCGCAGCCTCCGGCGCCGCAGTTTCCGGCGCAGGTAGAGGAACGAATGCAGTTGACCTGGTGATATATTCGAAGATGCAGTTCTGCAGTTCATGAGTATAGCATCTGTGGGTGCAGTTGCCAAGCAATGACCTCTTCGGCACCGCGGGCTCCGGCGCCGGAGCGGACCATTAACTTACAAGGAAAAGACACGAACATTGTTTCGATTTGACGAAACATTCCCAAGTTCATTAACGCGTACGACAATCAGACACCTCCAGAGCGTCCGGCGCCGGAGGCTGCGGCGCCGGAGGGTGGCTTTCTTGGATTGATTTTTGTGGCTCGGCAATGCCTCGTGTGCATACGCTTACGAAGCCCCGTAGGCTGCGGCGCCGCAGGCTCCGGCGCAGGTAAAGGGAGGACAGTGTTGACCCGGCGTTTTGTCGTGGGGACATATTGGCTGCTGCGTTTAAAGAAGTGCTCAGTAGCTTGGCTGGGTACAGTTGCCAAGGAATGCGACGGGTGTTTATAGAGCATCCAGAATGTGGGAAACAAATGGGAGACAAGTGGAAGACAAATGAGTATGACATGTAGAACCAAGGGTCCCAGACGGGCGTTAGAGCATCCAGAATGTGGGAGACAATGCGAGACAAGTGGGAGACAAATGAGTATGACGTGTAGAACCAAGGGTCCCAGACGAGCGTTAGAGCATCCAGAATGTGGGAGACAAATGGGAGAAAACTACAGACAACTGTGGGAGACAAATGAGTATGACGAGTAGAACCAAGGGTCACAGCCGGGCGTTAGAGCACCCAGAATGTGGGAAACAAACGGAAGACAAGTGGGAGACAGATGAGTATGACGAGTAGAACCAAGAGTCCCAGACGCGCATTAAAGCATCCAGAATGTGGGAGACAAGTCGAAGACAAGTGGGAAACAAATGAGCAGCGGCTTTTAGAGTAGTGCCGCGGGAGATCCAAATGAGTGTTAGAAAACCCTTGTCAAGAACACCTCAGCAGCTAAAGCTGTTTGGGAATGAGAGACAAGTGGGAGACAAAATGAGTATGACGTGTAGAACCAAGGGTCCCAGACGGGCATGAGAGCATCCAGAATGTGGGAGACAAGTGGGAGAAAATGAGAGACAGGTGGGAGACGAATGAGTATGACGAGTAGAACCAAGGGTCCCAGACGGGCGCTGGAGCATCCAGGTCCAGAATGTGGGAGACAAATGGGAAACACATGAGTATGACTTGTAGATCCAAGGGTCCTAGCCGGGCGTTAGAGCATCCAGAATGTGGGAGACAAATGGGAGACAAGTGGGAACAAATGAGTATGACGTCTAGAACCAAGGGTCCCAGACGAGCATTAGAGCATCTAGAATGTATGTGAACAACTCATGGGAGACAAGTGGGAGACAAATGAGTATGACGAGTAGAACCAAGGGTCCCTGACGGGCGCTAGAGCATCCAGACTGTGGGAGACAAATGGGAGAAAATGAGAGACGAGTGGGAGACATATGAGAATGACGTGTAGAACCAAGGGTCCCAGACGAGCGTTTAGAGCATCCAGAATGTGGGAGACAAATGGGAGACAAATGGGAGACAAGTGGGAGACAAATGAGTATGAGGAGTAGAGCCAAGGGTCCAAGACGGGCGTTAGAGCATCCAGAATGTGGGAGACAAATGGGAGACAAGTGGGAGACAAATGAGTATGACGAGTAGAGCCAAGGGTCCAAGACGGGCGTTAGAGCATCCAGAATGTGGGAGACAAATGGGAGACAAGTGGGAGACAAATGAGTATGACGAGTAGAGCCAAGGGTCCCAGACGGGCGTTAGAGCATCCAGAATGTGGGAGACAAATGAGAGACAAGTGGGAGACAAATGAATATAACGAGTATAGAACCAAGGGTCCCACAGAATGTGGAGACAAGTGGGAGCCAAGTGAGTATGACGAGTAGAACCAAGGGTCCCAGACGGGCGTTACAGCATCCAGAATGTGGGAGACAAATGGGAGACAAGTGGGAGACGAATGAGTATGATGTGTAGAACCAAGGGTCCCAGCCGGGCGTTACAGCATCCAGAATGCGGGAGAGAAATGGGAGACACGTGGGAGACAAATGAGTATGACGTGTAAAAACCAAGGGTCCCAGACGAGCATTAGAGCATCCAGAATGTGGGACACAAATGGGAGAAAAGTGGGAGACAAATGAGTATGACATGTAGAACCAAGGGCCCCAGACGAGCATTAGAGCATCCAGAATGTGGGACACAAATGGGAGAGAAAAGTGGGAGACAAATGAGTATGACGTGTAGAACCACGGGCCCCAGACGAGCGCTGGAGCATCCAGAATGTGGCAGACAAATGGGAAACAAGTGGGAGACAAATGAGTATGACATGTAGAAGCACGGGTCCCAGACGAGCGTTAGAGCATCCAGAATGTCGGAGACAAATGGTCAGACAAGTGGGAGACAAATGAGTATGACGTCTAGAACCAAGGGTCCCAGACGGGCATTAGAGAATCCAGAATGCGGGAGACAAATGGGAGAAAATGAGAGACGAGTGGGAGACAAATGAGAATGACGAGTAGAACCAAGGGTCCCAGACGGGCCAGAATGTGGGAGACAAACGGAAGACAAGTGGGAGACAAATGAGTATGACGAGTAGAACCAAGGGTCCCAGACGCGCATTCGAGCATCCAGAATGTGGGAGACAAATGGGAGACAAGTGGGAAACAAACAAGTATGACGTGTAGAACCAAGGGTCCCAGACGAGCGTTAGAGCATCCAGAATGTGGGACACAAATGGGAGAAAATTCAAGACAATTGCGAGTAGAACCAAGGATCCCAGACGGGCGTTACAGCCTCCAGAATGTCGGAGACAAATGGGAGACAAGTGGGAGACAAATGAGTATGACGTGTAGAACCAAGGGTCCCAGACGGGCATTAGAGCATCCAGAAAGTGGGAGACGAGTTGGAGACAAGTGGGAGACAAATGAGTATGACGTGTAGAACCAAGGGCCCCAGACGGGCGCTGGAGCATCCAGAATGTGGCGGACTAAATGGGAGACAAGTGGGAGACAATTGAGTAGCGGTTTTTAGAGCAGTGCCGTGAGAAATCCAAATGAGCGTTACAGAACCCTTTTCTACTAAGCAAACCAAGAACCCCTCAGCTAAAGCTGTTTGGGGAATTAAACAATGAAACCGAACTGAACCCACTTTTCGGGCCAATGCCGTTTGACGGTCAGACATGCATTCACGAATACAATACTGTAGCCTCCAGGCTCGTCCCAGAAAGCGGACTGTACCTAGACGAAATTTAAAACCCTGCCTCGAGGTTTCATCCTGTTTTCTGACATACATCCGTTGCACACGGCATCTCCCGGCCCACTGCCGAGATATTCTTCAAGCTGTGCAGGTTCAAACAGATTGCGCAACGAAACCACATTGCCACCGGGTGCTGTCGTGTACTTCATTCACACACTTCGTGCACAGTTTGCATACAGTAACGCATACTTCGCTTTTGCTTGCCATTTGCGATCATATTCCTTCGCATCTTTAGGATGTGCGCAACATCCGATTTTTGTCAAAAGATTCCGCTTTCGTACGTTTGCTGTATATTGCATTCGGAGATGCTGTTTACACAAACCTTTGGTCTGGGTGAAACTCAAACATGATTTTCTCTCACTTGTCCGCGGGCATACGTTCTAAACTTTCACTACCTTGTTGTCCTTGCCTCCGGTACTGTCTGGCGCATATGTTTGCGTAGCTTTTCATCTTCTTCCTGTTGCGCTTGCCTTGCACATTGACAGTCTCGGTCCTTGAAGATTGCCACCTTCACCATACCAGCAGCCTTGGGGCGTCGGTGTTACCACTGTTCCAATGGCTCTCCTGGGTGTTGGTCTCGATAACCGGCAAACGTGGCTCCAGGCTTAGATCCATTCTCGCTGAGAGTGCTCCACAAACTCAGCAAACCGTCGGGCCTCTTCTGGATCATGCTGCTCTGAAAACGCCGATCGTCTTCATGGTCCTGTTGTTCTTCCGAATAGTCTTCATAAGTCTGTGCATCGTTCATGTCATCAGCACTGAGTTCGGTGAAGCTTTCACAACGAGCACCATGCAAACGACTTGCTTTCCTGTTCAAAAGCTGGAAGGACAGCCAACGGTCTCTTGTTTATCACAAACGCACCTTATGAGCCTATTCCATTCAGGTCTTGACTTGCAAAGCTACCACGTTGCGCATGACCATACATCAGGATACTTGTCTTTACAAAGCTGTTACCTCACTTTCCTGATTGCTCTTCCTGGCTTCCAGCAACTCAAGTTCACACTGCCCACATGGCTTGTACTTCAGCTCGAGAAGGAATCTGCGAGACACACACGCACACGGACTTTGCTTTGTCGGTCTTCGTTCCTTTGGTCACGATGAAATGCGTGGCCTGGACCAACAATCCGCACCTTGTCGGCATCGTCTACTTTTGCATGTTCTTACCCTTTAAAAGCTGACAGATATGCTTCCCGATCGATCAGATCGATCGAATAGACGGTTCCAACTTGGTGTCTCTGGTTCAAGCACATCATCAGTTGACATGTCGACACTTTTGCTTTCATTCTCTTGTCCTCGATCAACGTTCAACATCAGGAAATTGAACTGGAAAATATCCTGCTGAAGCTGGAGCAGACGCGGATGATTCTGCTCGACGTCTGGGTTGAGCATCGCGACGCTTAGGTCGATCTCCACGAGGTGGTAGATCGCCTTGATTGCTCGATTCTTCTGAATCTCTTTGATTAGATCCATTGTCCTCGTCATCGTGGACTGGATCCACGAGCTTCTCCATGATGAAGGAGCAATCTTGTACTCTTGGTTGATCGAATGCTCGACATTCTGCGTGGTATCCCAGCCATCCAATAGTGGATTTCCGAGACCTGCCAATATCATCCAATATCGCCATGACATGGAAAGCGTTCTGCGCAAAAGCATTCTTGCGAAGTAGCATGATATTCCAACGTTTCTTCAAAGTTTCAATTGCTTTCTTTCCCACCTTCATCCTCAGCTCGCTCGCCTTTCACAAAACTGGTCTTGCCAAACTCGTTCTTGGTCACGAGGTTCAGCATCAGAAGGATCACGGCCATGATGCAATTTATCCCGAGCGTGAATACGGAGAAACGGTTGTGGTCTTTGAAACACAGCCTCCATGCCGCCATCAGCTTCGATCAGCAGTGCGAGCACTCTCATGGCTGGTTTCCATACAACACGCACTGTGTAATACTGAAATCTCTTGATATGTTCGCGAGACCACTCTTGTTCGACTTCTTTCTTCTTGCCCAACAACTTTCACAAACACCCATAGTCTTGCCAAATCTGGTGGACAACAGTTTGTCGGGATCGGTCTCAAGTCCAACATGTTCCGAGCTCGATGATCTTGAATCCAAAGGTACACAATGTCAATGTGCCTCAGTCGACCTGGACCAGCTCGATCTATGAATGACCCGCACGACGAAGAATCTATGCGAGGACGTAGGTGCAGAGGATGTCTGCATAGTCTCGACAACACGTTTGAGAAACAATCCTTCTCGCAATGAGAATGAGAATACGCTCCTGTTCGTTTCACTCTCACACGACCAAAGCAAGAGCTCTGCCCCACAAGATAAAAGCCGGGCGGCCTCCGTCCTCCCCCAGCCCACCAAGCAGGGGGCGACCGTGGAGCCGATGAGGCCCGCCTCGAGCTTGCTGAAAAAAGGACGGAGGTTGACTTTTCAAGGGGAGAGCCCCTCGCGACAGGGCCGTTGCCGACCGACTGTTGGTCTGGGTTGCGCCTTAAGGCATCCCGGGCCCTGACGAGGTCCAAGGGACAAGGCTCGAGTAGCGCGTAATTCGACCCCGGAGCGCGACCGCTAAGCCGGGCTCGAAGCTCGCTGCGGCCGTGTGCTGAGCAATCTCGGGACAGAAAGCTGTCCCTGAGTGGTGGCCCGGAGGTGAACATCCTCCCGAGCGCCTTGTTGGTTGACCTTAAGCCCCTGAAGTGACGTCAACGCTGAGGACGAAGGATGAAGGCCTGCTGTTCGGGTTCGCCTTTGACCGCGAAGACGTCGCCCAGGCATTGAAGGACGCCAGGAAGAGGGGCTGCAAGGTGTTGCTGATTTTTGACAAACGCCAAGCAGCGAGCGGCGCGCCAGAGAGAAGCGGGCCTGGACATTCGGACCGCATGTGGTTTCCCGGAGGCCAAGGGAGCCGAGGCGGCCTGAATCGCTTCATGTTAAGGTCCTTGTATGGCACGTGAAAAGTATGGGAGCGAAGGCGTGACAGTGCGATACGTGATGGGGTCTTCGAACTGGACTACCGCGTCGCGAGCAAACCTCGAGATGAGTGTTTTGCTCCCTTGGCGCCAAGTTGAGGATCCGACCGGGCCGTGAGGGCCAAACCTGAAACTTTGCAAAGCGGACTGGCGTCGGCAGCTGCTGCCTCTGTCAGAGGCCGAACGGTGTCAGTGCCCACGGACCTGAGCCGCCGCTCCTTGCATAAAGCGGGCTTCGGCCCTGGGAATTTTGCCCTACCGGGAATTGCCGGGCGGCGTGCTGAAGCCCTGGCCGCGTCTTGAGGGCGCTGATGCTCTCAGCAAGGGGGCGACTGTGAAGGTTGAAAGGCACTGAAAGCCTAGCTGCTAGCTTCCATTGTGGAGCAGTCGTAGTGCTGGCTGTGTGCTCTAGTTTTCTGTGCAGTCTGGTAATTTGTGGACGGTGTAGTTCTTGGCTACTGTGGCTCAAGCGTAGCCGTTTCACCTAACTTCGAGCGCGTGCCCACGTGAGCACAGAAAAGGCGACGATCGTGCTGGAACGCTGTCTGGAACTCACCTCTGAGTACTTACTAAACTTCGAACACCGCACTCTCCTGCCTCCCCCCTTCCGAGTTTACACCCCCACTTTTTCTCGTTTCCTTCCCTTCCCCTCTCCCCCCCCCTCCCACCCCACCCCACTGCAAACAGAAGGATTTGGGGAGTTCGGGCCCTCCCCCCACTCCACAGGTCGGAATTTCTCGAAAGCCCTTCCCAGCTTTCAAAGCTCGCAATCAGCCCCGACCACATTCCCTCAAAACCCCCCCTTCTCTCCCTCTCCTGCCTCCCTGCCCTCCCCACTCACTCCACCTAGGGTTCAAAGCCGCAGATTTCACAGTCCAGGATTTGGCGAGTTTAAGGGAGTTTAATGGTTCCGCCAGACCATGCTTCCCACCGCTGCATTTGAGGTTGTGGCTCCTGTACAGAGGGAAGGGTTTAATTGCACGACTCACAAAAAACTGTCTGTTTCAACATGTTCCAGCTATGAAAGATCTTGGGATTCTAAATCCTTATAACCCTTGGATGCCCACAGGTCAGACTAAGCTCACCACGACCACAATAAAATCCTGGAATCAACAATGATGTGTTTCTAAGCGATGCGCGTTCTGCTGTGCATCTTCTACACATAACAACACAGGTATAGACAAAGATGCCCCAGACCTTGCAAGCTGGCTCAGTACTCACAGTCGTCGCCGCGATGCAGACACTAAGTGCGTGCGAAAAATACACGTGTGTCTAGTATGTATGTACAAATCCATATTTCATGCATGCATGTATACATGTATACGCGTGTGTGTATTTAGGCAGGTATGAATGTAGGCTAGTATGAGTATGTATGCGTGTATCTTATATGTACGTGTGTGTAGGTGGACATACAAACACTGCATAGAAATACACACATCAACATCTACCTCTCTCTCTCTCTCTCTCTCTCGCTCTCTCTTTCGCTCTCTGTTTCGCTCTCCTTGGTCGACCTGGGTCATAGCTTCGGGGACTTCGGCGACCGTCACGATGTTGAAGTTCTGCTCGGGAACCACATCAAGAAAGTCCTCTTTGCAGGCGCTTTGGTTGAAGCCTCCGGGACTTGAAGGAGTTGCGTATCCAGCTGCCTTTCTAGATCCTGACACTAAGATGCGCATGAAACAAGCTCACTGAAACTCTCCAAGACTCCAAAGCCCAGCAATGGCAAAGCTCGATCTCAGAAACATCTCAAACCTTCACCTAGAGTCCAAAACCGCCAAGGAAAGCCCCCTTTTCCTGCTCATTGACCTGGTCGCTGCTGTTAACCACCCAGTCTGTCATGCGAACGTAGCGATTGAACAAAGTGTTGTGCAAGGCAACGCCCCCAGTCCTCAGTCGGCCCCCGGCCCGGAACTCGAAGGCATTCCTACGCACCCCCCAAATCCAGAGTGCCAGCCGAGATTCGGGAAATACCTCACTGCGAAAGCCTCGAACGGAGAATTCGCAGGGAGGGCGCTACTGGCCATCGGGACACTGGTCTCCATTTCCGCGCCGTTCATCCTCACCTTACGTGCTCAGTCACAGCTGAACATACTCCATCTTCGCTGCTGCAACGCGCGACACCTCAACTCAAGTCTCCCTGAGTCAGGAGTCCCCGAAGTAACGTTCAAAGCCGAGTTGCAAAGCGGTTGTGCACAGCGTTGTGGAGGGCGATCTTCCCATGCCCGGCATCGACAACGGTGAAGCGCTCCCACGTATGGTGTGCAAATGCATCCTATACCTTCATGTGCGGAGGTGCTTGCACTTGAGAGCCCCGAGTTCACAAAAGGCGGCAGCGAAGAGAGGCACCTACATTTTCGTTATCACATGAGTGCATCGGAAATGGGCCGCCTGATGCTGCAGTCTTGGGATGGCGCGAATTGGACCACAGAGTGGTCACCGTCTGGTGACCAGGGTGGTGTTTGGAGTCGAGCCGATGTCCAATTGCCGGATGATGCGCAAGCATTGCGGTTTTTGGGGATCACGAGGATTGGGCATGAAGGCGGCGTGGCTCTAGATTCACTGCAGACTTCCAATTTGTCAACGGCAACTCAATTGCCCAACTACGATATCGTGGCGTGCAGCTTTGAGACCGACTCCTGCAGCTGGAGAGCCATGACTGATCAGGCGCAATTCGCACGGTGTGTTTTCATACCACAGGAATCAGTTGTTCCTGGTTTGCCGCAGATTCATCAAGCTCCGATGTTGCACACAGAGACGGCTGCAGGCATTGTTGAACATTTTCGTTTAGCGCGGCAACTTGTGTGCAAGTTTTCAATCCCGCAAGGGAAGTGGCAACTTTGAAAGGCTCCTCCATCTCGGGTGGAATCGCCTGCTGTAGAAGGATAGCATGGACAACGGATCGTAAGTAAGCTCAAGTTTCGTGTAGCAGGCAGGGCAGCGGCATGTTTCTCAAACGCGGCCCGTTCCTCGAAGCATTGCAGCGTTTGCTGTGCATGAGTTTGCCGCGGAGGCTTGGATGAGGAGAACTGGCGGAACACCGTCATCTGACACAGGACCCTCGGGTGCATTCGATGGCGACCACTACATATACCTGGAGTCGAGTTTGCCGAATTATCCCAACAAGGCGGGAGCCAAGTGTGGAGATCTGGATCTTCAACGTCTCGTGCTTGTCTCTGTGTCCATAAGAAGGTCTCTGGACTAGTGGCAACATAATGCAACATTACTCTAGTGAAAAGCTTTCAGCTTTCATGCGTCTTTCAGGGTAAGGTGTTCGACCTGCAGTTTTTGGGGTTTGGGCGGTTAAGGGTTGTAGGGGATTCTGGATCTGAGCGTGACTAATGAGACCGCGTGTCCGGTCAACACTGTAGCTCCTTTATGCTCCCTTCACGCGTTCTGCGAGGCGAGGTAGGGACTTGCATAAGAGCGGGCGGGGACGTGTCAGGCCGCATGCTCTGAGGTAGACTTGGGGAACATCAGGGGAGACCTGCCATGACCTGAAAAGATTGTAGGGTTCGCACAAGGCTCTTAATGCTAGGTGCCCAGGAGCGCTCTCCAATGAGAAATGAAGGTGCCGCGATGGGCCCAAGAAGTTGTGCCGATGCTACGGGCGCTGGTACTTGCATCGGCCTTGGCAGCGGATGCACCTCTCAGTCATTGACCGGTTAGCTCAGAAACGCGAGCGTGTGCAAAGACGCTGGGTCGCGGTAAAGATCCACACTCAATCACGGACGCCACAACATCGCGCACACCTCTCAAGGGATGGGGCGAGGCGTGACGGGGATGTGCACACGACATCGCTCCGCAGATGGCACCCTCGGTGTGGAGCGCCATCACAGC